CTCACAGCTTTCATGCCAGCAGCTCACAAAGTAGAATTTTTTGCTCACAAGACTCCACAGCTTAGAGGCAGCATTGCTTCAGATCCAACAAAATGAGTAAAGGAAAACGTGAAGGAGGTTTCTGCAGTTACGCACGGGGTAGAGAAAGCGGAGACCCCCCCCCCCCCGTACTATCAGGAGCCAATGGAGATAATGTCTCCGGGACACGGGAAGATTCCTGTGGGATCAGACCCACAGACCATCCAGTGCTGCTTCCCACAGCGGCTGACCAGACGCCCCAGGATGCCCACCGCGTGGGCCGGGAGGACAAAACCTTTCCCAACTGCTCACCCGCCAGCAGCTGGTATTCAGAGGTATACTGCCTTTGAGTATGGAGGCTCCTTTTAGCCATTACTACAGATAGCCACGGACAGACCTCTCATCCATGAATTTGTCTAACTGCCTTCTAAAGCCATCTAAGGTCACAACTACCGCTACATCCTGTAGCAGCGAGTCCCACAAGTGAATTACGTATTATTGGAGGAAGCACATTGCTTCTGCTGTCCTGAAATTGCTGTCCGTTAATTATGTCTTCATACACCGTATACTCAATTTATGGAATCTACTGCCCCAAGACCTGGTGATCGCCTCTGCCTTCAATGGTTTTAAAAGGGGATGAGACATCATTCATGGAGGAAAAGAGGTGTTCACAGCATCTCCCAGGTACTGTGGCTAAACAGACCCTTCAGAATCAGAAGCAGTCTACCTCCGAGTACCAGATACTGAAGTCAAAGGAACATGAGTGGGGTTGTCGCTCAAGCCCGGCTTGTGGGCTTCCCAGAAACACCTTGCTGGATGCTGGAAGAAACAGGATACTAAACCACACCGATTCTGGGTGTGATCCAGTGGACCAACTGAGGCAAAGCACGACTTTAAAAAAAAAAAGATCTCGGTTCGAATTACAGCCCAGCCACACTGCACATACCAAGTGGCCCCTTCTGACTGCTTTTCTGGATTGACTTCCTCACTGCGGACAAGCAAAGTGAGAAATGGAGGGCATTTTGGCTCCTCGTTTACAAGCCGGCGATTATTTAATTATTTATTTGCGCTATTTATAATCTGACTCTCTGGCTGGGACTCCAGGCACACAGTGAGTCGATACGGTCAATAAGATGGGGCATTCAACAAACAAGTGAAATAGGATTCTGGGTTGTAGGACCCACCAGAAGTCTAAAAACAGAACTGAAGCAAAGCGTTAAGTGTTAACATGACACTTTGAATCAGGGGTGTCAAGCATGGGGGGGGGGCAGAAGTGGCCCGTCCAGGGGTCTTACCCAGCCCGCAAGCAACTGGTATGTATGGCAATGTCAAATATTCCCCTTTTTATGGTATCCCTCAGAAAAAACTAGTCTTGCATATGATTAAATACATTTATTATGGGTTCTGTGCGTTCCCCAGTAAATCAGTTGCTTTCACCGCTAGGAATCAATTGTTTTTGTTTGTATTTTGAGTAAAAAATAATGTCGTTAATTGGGTTTGCCGGCGTCCTTTACAAAGTTTGTATCTCTGGTGCCTGGCGTTACATTTTATGCCACACATGGCCCAGCCCGACAAGGTGACATTTATGTCAGATCCGGCCCTCGTAACAAATGAGTTTGACACCTCTGCTTTAAATGATGCAGCATCCCATAGTTTCGGCAAGCTACACACAGTAACGGTCCCTAATAATTTTCCCAGGTAACTTTTGTGAATCATTTAGTACAGGGCAACTCTATTGCCTGCGTAGGGAGGCCCTCGTGAGTAATTCAGTTTTGCACAGGACGCGGAAAGCTGGGAGAGCGGGAGCCCTCCCGACCTCCTCAGGCAGGCCATTCCACAAGGCGAGGGCCACCACAGGGAAGGCACTGTGTATGGGCAGTTGTTGACTGGCAACTGCAGAAGACTCTGTTGCGGCTGAACATCGGGGGAGAGACAGTCTTGCAGATCCGAGGGTCCAAGGCCATGAAACGAATGTCTTAAAACTGAGCCCAATAACGGATGAGCAGCCAGTGAAGTGCATGCCGGATGGGAGTAATCTAACTCCTGATAATAGCTCAGCTGCTATTATATCACCACACTTCATGTTTAATGCCTGCAGCCCCTTAATGTCAGATCGAGCAGTAATACAAGATAACGTGTGTGAGTGTGTGTGTGGGGGGGTTCCTAACTAAAACTGCTGTTTTCTGCAGGGTGGTTTTTTAATTAAATGATGTCCCAAATTCCTCCTCATGGTCAGGTCCTGGATTCTTTGAGGCCTCTCTTTGGACTGAGCTCAGGTTGTCTGGACCCAGGGCGTCTCCGCTCACGGTCTCAATGGCGGCTCCCCCCCAGAGTCTGCGTTCCTCCCGCTACATATCCAGGTCCGATGTTGCCGTCAGACTGCCTGTCCTGCTTTTCCTGTCCTCCCTGAAAGTAACCAGTCCTCCAAAAGATGCCCAACAAGCCACGGAGGCGTCTGCTTTGTGCGGCTCCGGAACCACCTGAGGGCATCGTCGTCCGCTTTAAAGCCAGGATAAAGGCAGTGCTTGGGGGAGCTGGCCAGAGGCCGCCAAGTGCAGAAAGGACTCTCTCTCTCTCTCCGAACGCTCCCACCCCACCCTGACTTCCTCCCTGAAAGTAACCAGTCCTCCAAAAGATGCCCAACAAGCCACGGAGGCGTCTGCTTTGTGCGGCTCCGGAACCACCTGAGGGCATCGTCGTCCGCTTTAAAGCCAGGATAAAGGCAGTGCTTCGGGGAGCTGGCCAGAGGCTGCAGAGTGCAGAAAGGACTCTCTCTCGGAACGCTCCCACCCCACCCTGACCGATTGCTCAGGGCAAGGAAAGGGAGCTAGCCGGAGACAACGGAGGCTCCCCCACAACACCAGTGGATGAAATCAAAGAGGAACGAGAGCCCGTGGGTCCCCAAAAGTCACTCAGGCAGATCCCCTGGGATTGACCAGGGCTCAGTTAAAGGGGGAGGTAGAAAAGATTGCTTTCCCTCCCCCTTTGGGGAAACACGGGCTTCCAATTAAATAACCTCTGCAAGTGCAAGGGACTTCAAACTGTAGCCACTGGTCTTGGGACATTAAGGGCTGAGCCCACCATTCTAGGGGGACTCTGGGCTCCATGTCAGAAGCCAGAAAGCTGGTGGGGGGCACCGAACAAGCCCCTCTTTTCCTGTTGTGCATTAAGAGCAAAGACGTGTGTTTTGTTTTGTTTTGTTTAAAGCAGGGACTACAGAGAACACCAGGACCATTTGCGCTTTCTGCTCTCAGTAACGGTTTTCACATTTAGCCTTCCAGTTAATTAATTCCCGATTCCTTAATATCCTTTGTTGCAACCACAGTTCATTACGGTAACTGCAAGTCTGGTGCTTCTAACAGCCATTTGGGACTTCAAAAAAAAAATGTTCCCCCTCTAAACTGTGCCCCAAAATAAAGTTTTCTGGAAGGGTAGACACACCAGTGGGGGGCATTCAATAAGGTTTGGAGTGTTGAAAGCATTTCCACATACCTTGTCTTACAAAGCCTTTACAACAAGCCTGTAAGGCAGGCACAATCCCCTACTTTTTGGAATTAGGCTGCAACAAGTGGGGACCTGCAAGGAACTTGCAGGGACAGGGGACAGTGGTGATGGTGGGGGTGGGGCAGGGAACCCTACTGGGCTGGTGGTGGCAACAGTGGGGAGGGGGCGGGGAGCTCCCATGGTGAAGATGGGGGAGGCAGCCTGGGACCTGGTAGCTGGGGGCTTCCCTGAACATGGTGATGGGGGACTTTAAACGTGTGTCAACGGAGGAGGTTCAAATGCACTTAAAATGGGGGAGGATTTTAACCTCCCAATGTAATTGCTCCATGCTTTCAGATTTTTCTGCAAATCTGGGGAGTCACCCAAGTGTTCAGAACTACCTGTTTCTAGTCAGTGTGGGCCCAATCCACAGATGAGCCCATATTTGACCATATAAGATTCCTGGGTAACCCAAAAGATGAGGCATCCTGGACCCTGAACTAAGAGGGGGGGAGGAAGGAGCAAGCCTTCTCCCCCTTGTACAATGAATGGAGGCATTCAACCACACCCAAATAAAGCTCCTCGGGTTAACTTACATTCACCTCTCTTTCCTTTCCCCTTAAACACACCCCCTCCAGGGCACGTTGCCAGAAGACAGAACCTCCTATCGCCCTTCCACTCAGTTCAGAACAGAAACTCTGAAAGCTGCATTTTTGTTCAGCGTCAAAGAAGCATTCCTGAAAACCGATACAAAGTAGGAAGACTTTGGGGGGGGGATACTCCCCCCAAAGTTGCTGCTATAAGAATCAGGGCCGCCTTCACCCCCCTGGGTTGACTCTTGCAGATCTGCAGTGTCCTACTTTTTCCCACAGGAATGAATGGCAGCCACTGGGGAGAAATTAAATGGATTTAACACGCTTCCTACTTTTGTGGTCTCCGGTTCCCTGAAGAAAGGAGAGGCGAGGTGAGCGACTTTTCCCTTTCCCCCAGCGGTCTTGCCGATTGCAGCCTACTTCCTTTCTCCCGTAGAACTTAATGGGAGCCATAAAGAACCCAGCTACCTCCTATCTCTATAGCCGCACCCAATGCTCCCTCTAAGCCATGGAGTCTTGTGAGCAAAAATTCTGCTTTGTGAGCTACTGGCACGAACGTTGTGAGCAAGCGATCTGGCTACTGCGTAAATTAGTTTGCCCCGGAGCCATTCTTCCTGAGCTAAGACAAAAATGTGTGAGCAGGAGGCTAAAAAACTGAGCCAGCTCACACTAACTCAGCTCAGAGGGAACACTGGCCCCACCCCTCCCCTCTACAGACCTCCACCCGAGGGTCTCTTTCTCGGTTGTGCTCAAGCGTGACGTAGAAACACTGCCCCAGAGATCCGCCTCATCCATCTATCCAAGGAAACCACTGTCTAACAATGAGAAGATGGGAGACTGAAAACACCCCAACCGCCAACCGGAGGGACAGAAAGCATGTAATGAAACTGTGCTTTCTGGCGTTACCTTGGATGCCGTAGAGTCGGTTGAGACGGGAGCGCCTGGCTTCATCAGCATACGGGACTGCCAGCCAGGGCATCTCGCTGAAATACTGCTTGAAGGAGTCCTCTGACCTGCAGGGTTGAAAAGGAGGGAGACTGGCGTGATGGATCCAACACAGAACCGAACCTGGCCTTGCCATTATGCCTGCAAAGACAAGGGGGCCAGAGTTTCGCCCTACTGGTGCAGTCCCTCCCCCATTACAAAGGAGCATCTCCCCTTCAGGAGGGGCACTAAGGAAGGGACTGATGCTGCACTTATGGGCCGCACGGATTCCATAATTTGTTGTTGTTGTTCAGTTGCACAGTTGAGTCCGACTCTTCGCGACCCCATGGACCACATCACGCCAAGCCCTCCTGTCTTCCATCGTCCTCTGAAGCTTGCTCCACTTCACGTTCGTTGCATCGATGACACTGACCATCTCATCCTTTGCCGTCCCCGTCTTCTTTGACCTTCAATCTTTCCCAGCATCAGGGTCTTCTCCAGTGAGTGCTCCCTTCTCATTGGGTGGCCAAAGTATTTGAGCTTCAGCTTCAGGATCTGGCCTTCCAGGGAACAGTCAGGGTTGATTTATTTTAGGATTGACTGATTTGATCTCCTTGCAGTCCCGGGGACTCTCAAGAGTCTTCTCCAGCACCATAATTTAAAAAACCCAAACTCTAAAAAGTATCGAGGAAGGGGGAGATTCTAGGGCATGCAGAAAATTGTTCAGGATGTATAATCTGTTTTGCTTAATTCATTCTGGTTTTGCTCATCATGGGGTCGGGCTATTCAGGCCCGTCCCTGGCTTCTGAGATTTCAGTCAGCACTGGGCCAATACTTTAAAGTACCCCTTCACAGACCTGAGGACTAGGAACTTGCTTTTTATTTCTAAGTAGTAGTAAAAGCAGAGATCCACTTAGAATGCATCCCAGGCCATGTCCTGCACTTCTACACAGCTGTGGCACACACTGTGCTAGTCAGGAGACAGGAAAGAGAACCTAAAAGCTCTTTGGGAATTGTTTGGTGCCACTTAGACAAGATAGGAGGGTGGACTTGAACGAGACCTTCTGGGAGCTGGTCTGGCGCGTTACTCCTGGAAAAGCATGGGAATCCAGAGATCCACTTAGAATGCATCCCAGGCCATGTCCTGCACTTCTACACAGCTGTGGCACACACTGTGCTAGTCAGGAGACAGGAAAGAGAACCTAAAAGCTCTTTGGGAATTGTCTGGTGCCACTTAGACAAGATAGCAGGAGGGTGGACTTGAACAAGACCTTCTGGGAGCTGGTCTGGCACGTTACTCCTGGAAAAGCATGGGAATCCTTATGTTCTTATAGACAGCTGGTGGACCTCCTGATGGCACCTGGTCTTTGGCCACTGTGTGACACACAATGTTGGAGTGGATACACCATTGGCCTGACCCAGCATGGCTTCTCTGACGTCCTTATGCTTGTCCTCGGGTGCCCGGCCGCTTCTGTTCCTTGGACAGAACGAGATCCCCACAACACTGTCACCGCTGAGTGGGCCACTGTGTGACACACAATGTTGGAGTGGATACACCATTGGCCTGACCCAGCATGGCTTCTCTGACGTCCTTATGCTTGTCCTCGGGTGCCCGCCCGCTTCTGTTCCTTGGACAGAACGAGATTCTCTTTGGTCCACACAACACTGTCACCGCTGAGTGACAGCCCTCCAGGACTGCAGGTTAAGAAAAGACTTTTCCAGCACCAGGGATGCTTCTGCGTGGAGAGCTCCACCTTCTGCGTGGAGAGCAGGTACTTTGCCCCGAGCCACAGCCCCTGCGACCGGCCCTGCCAGCCCTTCCTGGGCCCTGCAGGCCTCCCTACCCCCACCTCCCGTCCAGGCTGCTTTACGGGGAGGAACTCTGGCCTGCTTGTGGGGTTAGGGTTTGGGCTCAGCTGCCAGCTGGCTGCTACAGCCCAACCCTACAAGGAAGGCGACGGACCACTCCCAAGAAAATCCCAAACCGAGAACTGGCCCTTGCACACCAGCGCTTGCCTGTGCACGAAGTCTCCCACCTGCTGGCTTCTGCGACTTTAATGCATGCTGTCATTTCCTTATGCACCCTTCCCTCTGAAGGCTTAGGGGGTGGAAACTTGTCTAATGTTTCAAAAAGATGAGATATGAGGTTAGCGGGAGGCTGAACTGTACACCCGATGCTCCAATGCAGAGCCAGTTTGGTGTAGTGGTTACGTGTGTGCGGACTCTAATCTGGGAGAACCGGGTTTGATTCCCCAGTCCTCCACTTGCAGCTGCTGGATGACCTTGGGCAAGCTATAGTTCTGACAAGAGCGGCAGACCTTGCACTTCTCAGCCCCACCTAACTCACAGGGTGTCTGTTGTGGGGAGAGGTAGGGAAGAAGAAGGAGTTTGGAAGCGAGTCTCCGAGTGAAGGGCGGGGGCGGGGTATAAATCCAATCTCCTCCTCCTCCTCCATCTTGCACCTTCTCTCAATGCAATGAACAAGTCACCTGCGAATCCACCCCACTTAGCCAAAGGCAACTTGCCTTTCACCCCGGCATCACACCAAAGCAGCATTTACCTGTCTGCACTAACAAAGACAATCTCAAATTTTTGTCCCACATCCTTGATTTTCCGGTAGGATTCCACCAAGACACGAGTGAGGCTTCTGCAGGGAGGGCACTGCCAAAGAATGACACAGGAAAGAAGTTGCAATATTTCATCAAGTCAAGCTGATCAACAACCAGCTGCCTGGTCACCTCCTGATTTGGGGAAAGCTTTTGGTAAACTGGCAAAGAGTATGTGGGTGGGGGGTCCTCTTCCTGGGTCCTCTTAGTGCAAAGAGGTGGGCTGCTAAAATGTTTGCTGTGGACTACTCACTTTGCCAGGCACTTCCCCACGTCCCCCGACACCCTGCCCACCCGCTGAGAAAGCCAGGCCCTGACTCACCCAGTGTGCAGAGAAGTAAACGCCAACATAGGAGCCTTCCAGGGTGCTGCTGTCCTGAGACTGGCCTTTATTTTGGACCAAAGGACCCGCGATCACCTCTTGGAAAGGACGGGGACCCCACGGGAACTCCAGACCTGGCGTAAGTAGAGGATGGGAAAAGAGAGAGCGTGACGGAGCAACACAGCCAGTTTCTCCTGCTCCCAAAAGGAACCCATGACAGCATTCTTCATGGCGTAGTATTACCGTCTGCAAAAATCTCCACACATCCTGCATCAAGCTGGTCTGCTGCGGAACCCCTGCACTCCACACACACCCCCCCGGGAATCTCAGGTACACTTTAGATGACAGCTTCTTCCAGCTAGTTTGCCCCACTGTGAATTCCTTCGCTAAAGTCACAGAAAGCAAATGTTTGTTTTTTCACACTGGCTCACAGCCAATGCTCTAGAGGCAGGTTGCATGCAAATGCACACGTAAAATACACAAGAAGCACAAAAACGTAAGCAAATTTGAGGGGGGGGGGCACCTAATTAAGGAAACCGCAACACACCATAAAAGCATCAGCAGTAAAATTCTAGAAATGCAATATACAGTTTTAGCAGCAGACGTGTTAGCTGCAGCTAAGAATAAAACTTCAGTGGCAGATAAACAAAATTAAGGTTTTACAGCCAATGAAATGGATAGTATCAAATTCTGCAGCAGGTAAAACGATTCATCAAATTAGAACGAGGGGGGGATCAAGCCCCAAGCCTGTGGCCTGCTCACTTGAGGCAACAAATTAAGTCGGGGAGTGGGGGAGGATCAAAACATTAGGCCAAAAGAGAGGCAGGCAGGCAGTGGCGGGGAGAGAATTCCACAACAGTTCAGGTAGATGCTCAGCAGCACCACAACCTGACCTGCATCTCTCTTCTTGGTAGGGATGCCAGCCTCCAGGTGGGACTTGGGAAATCCTCAGAATTACAGCCCATCTCCAGACTACAGAGATCAGTTCCCCTGGGAAAAATGGATGCTTTGGAGGGTGGACTCTGTGGCACTGGACCCCACTGAGGTCCCTGCCCTCCACCCCCAAATCTCCAGGAGTTTCCCAGCCTGGATCTGGCAACCCTACCCCCATCCCCCGCCCGTGGCCAGGGGGGACCTGGCAACACTACTTCACAGCCAAATCTAGATGTTGCAACCAGTGTTCCCTCTAAGCTGAGTTAGTGTGAGCTAGCTCACAGTTTCTTAGCCTCCAGCTCACAAATTTTTGTCTCCGCTCAGGAAGGAGGGCTCCAGAGCAGACTAATTTATGCAGTACCCAAATTGCTTGCTCACAACTTTAATGCCAGTAGCTCACAAAGTAGAATTTTTGCTCACAAGATTCCAGAGCTTAGAGGAAGCATTGGTTGCAACACACCTGTTTGTGATGGGCACAAACACGACCTGTTCTTCGTTCCCTTCCTCCCCCTGTGCCTGAGGTGCAACTGAAAGCTCCCCCATTTCAAAAACCACAAACTCATCTCCAATTTGCAGTGTTGCCTGAATGCGGGCACCTGTGCCCCACGATTCAGGATTCTGGATCAGGACTGAGCTGGAGCTTAGAGAAAGGTGCAAACATTGCAGAGAACAGTGACCCCGACCAACACAGGGAAAGTCAAGGAGGACATTCTTTTGCTGCGTGCTCAACCTTACCTTCAGGGTCATCTCGGATTACCAAGAGGCCGTTCTGGCACACAACCTTCCCAGTGATGGCATCTATAAATATCAGCGAGGGAATGTTGGAGACTCGGAACTTGTTCCAGAGTTTCAACTAGAAGGAAAGAGAAAAAAAGAAAAGGACAAGATGAAGGACAAGCAAAAACAACAACGCTGACCTTGTGTCCCCTGTGCAGGGGGTAGAGGTGGGACAGGAATGCTCTAATGACTCAACAAAAGGAAGCAAAGAGAAGACGGAGGTCATCCTTATGGACCACCTTCCCTGGCCTCTCCCGTCCTGCACGCATGAGGCCCCAGGTCCGATTCCCCCAGTATCTCCAGCGAATACATCTCATGCCAAAGGGCTGGGAAAGAGACCTCTTGGCCTGCAACCCTAAACAGCCTCTGCCGGTCAAAGGAGCCAAGACAGAGGAACTGAGAGCCTCTTTTCGGGTTGGCAGAGGATCTGCTTCACATGCAGAAGAGACCTCCAGCTAAGGAATCTCAGGCCAAACCTCTCTCTGTCCAGAGTAACCCTGGACCGGACCGCCGCTGGTCAGAGTAGATGATGCCAATCACCCAACTCGGCACGAGCTAGATGTGCACAGAAGCCAGATGTGTGCACCTCTGCAGCAGAAGACCTGTGGCTCAGCAGAACGGCACCTGCGCTTTGCATTCAGAAGGTCTCGCAGATGTGGACAGAGGCCAGAGAACCGCTGCTGGTCAGAACAGCACCAGGCTTGGCACCAGGCTGCTTGTAAGTTCAGACTGCCAGGTCCTTCGGGCAAGGCCGTTTGTTTGTTTGTTTTGATCGTCTTCCTTGAGAAAACACCAGATTGTTAGGGCTACAAATCTGAGCAAACCGATTACTTAATTAAATAAAAGAACTTTGGCTAGCAGGCGGCGCCTCTGGAGAGGGAGTTCCGTGTCTCTCGCACACAGGACTGCCTCTTCTAAAACAGCACCCGCAACATCTCAGGCCTCCGTCACTTAAAAACAAAGTGTTCTGCTCTGTTCCCTTCAGAATGGAGGTTCGATTTATATGCAAACTCAGGCAGACTTGATTCACTGATTAGAGTTCGTGGAATTAACCTAACCCCTTTAACTGGGTGTGCCAGCCCACAAGTAACAGATCATCAATGTATTTTCTGCAACGACCCGCGGATTTGCCATTATTACTGCCTGGAGAACTGTTTCACAGAGTGAAGAAATGAACCATCTTTTTACTTTTAATTTCTTTAAACTTGCACAAGGAAAGAGCATGTCGTATTTCAACTGTAACTCTTTTGTTTGGTCAGGCTGGATCGACAGTACCAAAAAAGAAAAGCCAGTACTGGGGCAATGAATTCCAGAGGTGAATGGAGAGTTTGGACGGAAGAAATATGACTGCCTGTTTATTCTAAACCTGCTCACAGCCTCCCGCCTGTCATGATAGGGTAGGCTGTGGGGCGTAATTCCAGAGTGTGTATAATAGCACTGTGTATAATAGATGTGTGTTCAAGGTAAATCAATGTTGTGCTTTTTCTTTTTCTTTCTTTTTCTATACTGTTATATAAATATTGGTATCAAATATTATCAAAAATAGGTTTCACCCAAACAAAACATCAAACTGCAGGTTTACATTCTGTTCAAATATGCAGACAGCACCTTGTCAGAATCACAATCATTAGTCCCACGGGACTCTAGTAATTTACCCGTTTCGAATACAATCTTTTTCAAGGACTGTGATGTATGTAAAGGACACAAGGCACAACAATTTCTCTTTGTGAGCACAAAAACTCTTTAAGATAGCAGCCTATTTTCTAGGGTCCCGTCGGCACTGAAATAAACAAAAATATTAACACATCAATGGAATTTCATTGATCCTTATTTATAATTATCGAAATTATTAAAAGAGCTCACTGACCCCTCGCGGCAGACATAATAACCTGTCTAGGATAGCGTATCTCTCAAGTTCTACCAGGTAGCCGCAAATTTGTGGTTTTGCTCAGTCTGTCTCTTTCGCTCCAAGCCTCCTAATCAGCCTCTCTAGGGGCCCATATTTGGGTCACGTCTGGGTGGCATGACTGGGATTTGTTTGGACGGCTCGTATCCCTCCAGCCCTACTGGGGACCACATACCTAGGTACAGCTTTGCAGCTGAGCCAGGGATCAGAACCCAGACCTCCACTGTCCTATGAATTCTTCCCTGGGCCACACTGACTCTCTAACCGAACACTCGTGTGACGTGCCTTCAAACTCTTCTTTTTACGTGGGGCCTTCAAAGTAACTCCTTAGTTCTCATCCCCCACCAAAAGTAAGCCCACACCCAGGGGCAGGTACCTACTCCCCCTTCTCCATCCCTCCCTCCCTTCCCTCCCGCCTTTCCCTCCCTGTTCTCTCCCCCAGCATCCAAATCTGGACTGCAGGCTCCTTGGGGGCAGGGGCCCATCTCCTTTTTGTCAGAAGTGACTCCATAAAGCACCAGGGCCAATGAAGCCCCGACAGGCACGACAAACCGCCACCAGTTTCCCTGAGAGGCCCAGATAAAAACCAGCCGTGTCACGAAAGAGCTTCTGGAATCACTGCCCAAAACAGGCTAAGGAGGACACGTCATTTCAGTCTGAAAAATCCCAATTTCTAACTGGAACCCTCTCTGCTCTGGTCAGGACCGTAGTTCCTTGACCACGCTAACAAAATTCGAGAGACGTGCTACCACTAAAACAGCATCCATTTCTGTGTCAACTGTGTATAAATGGGGTTAACACAGTGTAACAGTGGTATATATCATATAAATGGCATCAAGGGAACCTATGAACCAAGAACAGCGGTGACAAAAACACGGGCAAAAAGGCTCACAATACCATCTTATGAAAATTAAAGTGGGCGCATTTGTATGGTCCTGAGACCCCATCGCTAATCCCCCCCCCCTCAAAGCAAGAAGGTATCTGCTTCAAGAACTGAAGAGAGCGGCTTTGGGAAATGCGACCCTGCCAAATTCCCTCCAACAACCACTTGCGCCAGAGAAAAAGCAAGTCCACACTTTTCCCCGGACCAAAATGGGTTTTTTAAAGAGAGTTTCCACGGTCTTGATGCACCTCAGGATGTGTCTGCAGACGGCCTATGCAGAGCCACTGAAGTGTCCACTTAAGACGGCAGAATCCCTTTGTTTATTTGGCCAGACTTGGCAACCTCTGGGCCAGACGAAGGCAGGGTTACATCAGCCGTGTTGGCTTCAGAAGGTTTGGAGCCTCACATTACAAGCCGGCCAGTGTGGCGCAAGCTCAGCTGCTGTGAAGTCGGAGGCCTCGGCAGCGCAACCGGATCCGGAGAGTCTTCAGGAGAGGAAAGGTCAAGTTTAACAGGAGGGGGAGAAGGCGGGAGGGGGAACTGTAAAGTGAGGCGAGCGAGACGTTGAGTCAGGAAAATGAAATCTCCACAATCACACACCTCCTTCCCGCTGAAGGGATTTACGCTCAAATCACGTCAAAGCTGAGTACTTTGGGGTTTCTGAGGTTTTAACCGCTACATTTTTGCCGAGTGCTCTGCGATGGAGCTATTTGTTAATAAATCCCTTGGTGAAAAGAGGGATTCGACGCTGAGATTATTACCGGGTTTAAAACCAAAACGGACCAAAAAAAGAGAGAGAGAGAGAAAGGGGAGAAAAACCAGCAACCGTCTTATGGCCTTTATTATAACAGAGCGGAATAGAAGCATGCTCAGAATTTAAGAGATTTTTCTAGAACTTCCGAATAATCCTTTCAACAGGCCTGTGGGGTAGGCCTGTAGTCTCATTCTTTCGCAGATGGGGAAGATAAGGCTGACAGAGAGAGGCGTGCCTAACGGTGGAACTGAGAGATGAACTACACAAAATGCTGAAATTCAGTGACTGGGACGCCAGATGAGGGTTCCTCGTACTGGTTTGGAAACTCCTGGAGATTATGGGGTGGTAACTGGGGTGGGGAGGAAGCTCAGTGGGGAAGAGTAGAGATGTGAACGCCCGGAAAAAACCCAGAAAAATTCGAGGGAAAAGTGGTTTTTCCCGTTTTTTTCCTGAAGCCTTTTTGGTTTTTTCCCGAAAAATTGGAAAAATTGAAAAAAGAAAAGAAAGGAAATTGATTATGGAACATTTTATTTTAACATGATGAATAAAATATTTTAAGACAAGGTGTTCAAATATTTTCCAAATCATTTCTAAAAAATATGTTTAGGAGGTGCTATTGTCACAAGAAAAGAAAAAGGTTTCAGTTTTGTTTTTGCATGTGGGTGGGTATTCTGTTTGTAATAATTGTTTGGATACACTATATTTTTAATATGCTAGTTGTGATAATTCCATGTCAAGTAAAAATGTCCATAGTCATATTTTATGTTCGTAAAGTAAGAGAATGACTTTCAATCTGGAAAAGAAAAAAGAAGTGTTAATGTAGCATTTTTTTCAATTTTTCTGAAAATTTTCATTTCCCCCGAAAAAAACCCGTTTTTCCCCCGAGCTTCAAAATTTCCGGAAATTTTACATCTCTAGAGAGATGCCTCAGAGTTCGCCCTCCAAAGCTGCCAATCTCCTCCAGGGGAACTGATCTCTGAAGCCTGGAGCTCAGCTGTATCTCTGGGAGAAGCCCAGGCCTCACTCGGAGGTTGGTTAACCTACTCCAGATCTGGGATGTGGCCCGGAAGACTAGTCACGGCCCAATCTGGATACGAGCGACACTGTGGAAGGGAAGGAAGAAACTTACAGCACTTTCACGCATGCTAAGTAATGCACTTTCAATCTACTTCAGCCACCGTTTCCAAGTGAATTTTGCCATTTCGCACAGCAAAACCCAGCTGCAAAGTGCACCGAGGTTGCAGTCACACGTGCCAGAAAAAACGGGGGGGGGGGGGGGGGGGTTCCTCTGGAAGAATTTGACCCGCGGTCGCGCGATCACACAGTCCTCAGAAGCTGCGGGCACCACCTGCCACTGCATGGTCAGACGCGACCACGGGTGAGTCAGGGGTTGGTTTTTTTGCTGTTTGTTTCCGATGCGCTTGAGGAATCGATTAATCGCATCTCTGCACTGAGGGCTCCCTATGGAGTTTGTGATGATGCGCATACTGAGAAGGGGGGGGGAACCCAACGGCATGGAGTCGGGATGACCTGATCAGACCATCCCAATGCCATGAGAGCGCACTGGAGCGATCAGACATGGGAGAGTCCGTCTGTGCCCTGTCGCAACCTGTTTCCTACCGGATCTTCCCCGGTGTCTTTTAACTCTGCTTCTGCAGCGGAACAGAACGGGTTGCCGACGGCTGCGGGGCGGTTCCCAGAAGCTGTCGTCTGATCGCGCCCTTTAAATCTGCCCGGCATCCGCTCCTATGGCGGGTCTAATTGTGCGTGTGATCGCGGTCTGAAAGTGGAGTGGAAGTGTGTTATTTAGAGTGTGTGTGTTAAAGCAACCTTAACTCTTCCCTCTCAAGCTGTTTCCTCAGTCAAAGCTCCCCACCCATAGCTGCTTTCAGCCCCACCAGGTGGGAAAAAGAATTAGGACTGGAAGGAAAAAGGCCGGCATGGGGGTGAGGACCTGCTTTTAAAGTGGCGGGGGGGGAGGCACTTCCAAGCACGGACATGGCACACAGGGAATTCCCCGTTCTCTAACATCACAGCCCCAATCCAGACCCCCCACCCCACCCATCACAGCTGGTTTTTAGGGCTCAAATTATGCACATACCCGGAGTTTGGGCCATAGTTTAGTGCCGAGCTGCCACAGAAAACAGCATCCCTGAGGCCCCCACCCCTCCACGCATGCCAGCTCCCAGACGCCCTCGTCCTGTCCATGTCTCCATTCCTGCCTGGGGCAGCCACTGAGGCACCGTTCGGCAAGAGGTGGGGTGAGCTGTACCACCTATGGGGGGGCAGACCTCTGATTCTGCCGATCCAGGCAGCAGCGCCGCGCTTCTGCCAAAAGCCGCTTCCTCCTTAATGCTGAGGTTTGTGGCCAAGGAGAGTGCAGACAAGGGAACTCCTCAGCTCACCAGTCTGAACCCGTAACCCTCCTGCTTTGTAGCCATCTGGGGAAAGGCCTCACGCAGTCTCGGCAGCAGGAACTGACAGCCCCCCCCCTTCCTGAGGTTTCCTCCGACTCTTACCCGTGTACATGAAGACCAAACCGCAGGGCAGGCCACCCGGCAGAGGGCCATGCCTCCGGAGTCCACAGCAGGCTCTGGGACAGTCTGTAGGCAGGCCACAAAGGATCCTCTTGGCGACACATGAGCACACTCTGCCTGCGATCGGTGACTTCCTTCTGATGAAGGGAGCTTTGACTCTTGAAAGCTTATACCCGGAAATCTTAGAACAAAGTTTGAGTCCAGTGGTTCCAGTTTGGTGTAGTGGTTAAGTGCGTGGGCTCTAATCTGGGAGAACCGGGTTTGATTCCCCACTCCTCCACTTGCAGCTGCTGGGTGACCCTGGGCAATCCACAGTTCTGTTAGAGCTGTTCTCTCAAGGGCAGTTGTTTGGAGAGCTCTCTCAGCCCCACATACCTCACAGGGTGTCTGTTGTGGGGAGGGGAAGGGAAAGGAGTTTGTAAGCCGCTCTGAGACTCCGAGTGAAGGGCAAGGTATAAATCCAATTTCTTCTTCTTTTCTTCTTCAACAAAGTTTAATCCTGGGTATAAACTTTCATGTGCATGCACACTTCTTATTCCCAGAATTAAACTTTGCTGGTCTTAAAGGTGCCACTGGACTCAAACTTTGCTCTGTTGCTTCAGACCAACACGGCGACCCACCTGAACCTAAAAACAAGTATTATTAGAGAATCTTGCCTCCATTTTAACTTTTTATGAAAACACAGTTATTCACACTTTTGACACAGACGAACTTAAAAGAATATGGATTCAGGTGGGGAGCCGTGTTGGTCTGAAGCAACAGAGCAAAGTTTGAGTCCAGTGGCACCTTTAAGACCAACAACGTTCCATTCTGGGTACAGCGGCTTAAAGGTAAAGGTTTCCCTTGCTCGAAAGCCAGTCGAATCCGACTCTAGGGTTGTGGTGCTCATCTCCGTTTCAAAGCCGAAGAGCCAGCGCTGTCTGAAGACGTTTCCGTGGTCATGTGGCCGGCATGACTAAACACCAAGGTGCACGGAACGCTGTTACCTTCCCACCGAAGTGGTACCTATTTATCTACTTGCAATGTCTTGCTTTCGAACTGCTAGGTTGGTATGAAGTGTGCACGCACACAAAAGCTTATACCCAGAACTGAACTTTGCTGGTCTCAAAGGTGCCACTGCACTCAGACTTTGCTCTGCTGCTTGAGACCCACACCGCGACCCACCTGAATCTACCAGAAAATCTGGTCGGTCTCTTACGGTGCTCCTGGACTCAAATCTAGCAGTTCTACTGTGGTCCAACATGGCTGCCCTCTGAAGCTTCCTTCCCTGTCGTTCTTATCTACTCCCCCCCTCCCATGGCAGGGCCATTGGGTTTTCAAGGCAAGAGACGTTTGGAGGGGATTTGCCACTGCCTGCCTCCGCCTCATCCCCCTGGTTTCCCTTGGAGGTCTCCCATCCAAACACTGACCAGAGACAACCCTGCTCAGCTTCGGAGATCTGATGAGACTGGGCTAGCTGGGGCTGTCCAGGTCAGGGCTCGCTCTCACGGCAGAGGCCGGTTTCCTGCCCCAAGCGTTTCCCCTCCGCTCTCGTCACCCCGTGCACACTGTACCTTTGCATCCCGAGTCCCTTCTCTGCAACGCGCCTCCCCGCCTTCTCACTGGGACAGAAGGACTCCGGGATCTCCATTCCGACTTGCAGCTGACGAAGGGAGTTTTGACTTCTGAGAGCTCCCACCCGACTGGGCTAGCTGGGGCTGTCCAGGTCAGAGCCCGCTTTCACGGCAGAGGCCGGTTTCCTGCCCCCAAGCGTTTCTCCTCCGCTCTAATCAAGACAATTACCCCGTGCACGCTGTACCTTTGCCTCCCGAGTCCCTTCTCTGCAACGCGCCTCCCCGCCTTCTTTCCCTGCTTGGTGGAAGGAAATCCAGGCCAGCACTCGGAGCTCAGCAAGGAAAAGGTGGAGAAGACAGACTCCTCCGTGCTCCATTTCGCTATTACCCAGGAACAGGGTCTGGTTTGCTTTTTTTTATTTAAAAAAAAGCGGCATTTCTCTACCGGATGCCAAGGAGGTGGGGGAGGGGGAGGGCAACAAGAGACCTCTCCTAAGCTGTCAAGAATTTGCAGCTGACTAACCATCAGCCCTCGCAACCAATTCAATTTAAATGCGATTTGCATGTTACCAATTTATTCCGTTCTCGCAAAGCCGAAACGCAGGATGAGTTACAGCACAGCAAACAGCCCAGGAAGCTCCCATGTCTGCACCGACCCAGGAACAGGGTCTGGTTTGCTTTTTTCTTTCTTTCTTTTTTTTAAAGCGGCATTTCTCTAGCGGATGCCAAGGAGGTGGGGGAGGGGGGAGAGCAAAGAGCGACCCTCTCCTAAACTGTCAAGAATTTGCAGCTGACTAACCATCCCGCCCTCGCAACCAATTCAATTTAAATACGATTTGCATATTACCAATTTATTCCGTTCTCGCAAAGCCGAAACGCAGGATGAGTTACAGCACAGCAAACAGCCCAGGAAGCTCCCATGTCTGCACCGCCCACCCCCGCCACAGATGAACGGCAGAGGACCCGGGTTCAACCCTCCTTCCCCCAGCCTCTCCGGTTTAAACGGCTTACAGACAGCGGGGGTTTGGAAAAGGCTTCTGCCAAGAAGGTTTTTCAGCCTCCGGCTCACACCTTTTTGTCTTTGCTCAGGAAGGAGGGCTCCAGAGCAAACTAACTTATGCAGGAGCCAAATTGCTTACTCACAGCTTTAATGCTGGTAGCTCACAAAGTAGAATTTCTGCTCACAACACAGCTTAGAGCAATGGTGGCGAACCTATGGCACGGGGGCCAGAGGTGGCACTCAGAGCCCTCTCTGTGGGCACATGTGCCAGCGCCCCAGCCAGGCCCGGACCATCATTAAAGTGTCGAATTCTCTGCCAAATAATTTTAAGTAAATGAAAGCATTTGGGATTGCTTTCCTTACTTTGTTTGGATCAGCTTAAGTTAATGTATGAGTTGCTTTTTTCCTAAAGTAAAACCTCAGTATTCAGGTTAAATTGCCGTGTTGGCACTTTGCGCTAAATAAGTGGGTTTTGGGTCACAGTTTGGGCACTCGGTCTCTAAAAGGTTCGCCATCACTGGCTTAGAGGGAGCACTGCTTCCCACCACCCACCCCGAGTGAGACGGCCATGGCTCCAACTAGCTCAATAGTGTGGCCATAGACTGAAAAGAGGTTTTCTCAAGCCTCTGGGATCTTTTGACCAGAGATGCCGGCCACCGATGGCCCCTCTACAATGCAAAGTGGATGTTTTATTTATTTAAAACATTTATTAGCTGCCTTCCTTATGGGGCTCGAGGCCGCTTACGGTATAAATAACATACTTGAAACAGGAGTATATAAAAAACAGATCTAAAAATTAACGTTTTTGAACGGCTTTAACCAATTAGCGTTCTGCCACGGAGCCACACCCCAATCGCCACTGTGATATCTGAATCCCAAATGGAAGCTGAGACACAAATATATATTCTGCTTCTGGCTCTGAAACGCCTCCGCTCCCTAAAAGGAGACCTGTGCTTTGTTTCTCCCACCTCCAGCCGCCTTCTCAAAATCCTCTCCCCTGCCCTGCATCGTCTCTCTGTTCCCAAAGCAGACCTGGAGAAGATAAACATCACCCTAGCAACACCAGAGCACTTGTGCCACACACTTCTTTTCTTCAAAATCACTTGTTCCAATACCGCTAGGAAACGCAAAGGGCGCAGGGCTGAAGGTTTATTTTTTTAACTTTCAACTTGTTTGGTTTATTTTGGCTAAGCGAGTGCATCCACACAATTCTGCAGTTTCTTTTGCCTCCCAGGCTTGGAAACACAGGGGCTCGAGATTTATGGGTGAGCGCCAGCTGACGCTTGTACGGTCGCAGACATTTTCCCAGAAGAAGCACAGAAACGCAAGTGCGGGATTTTTCCCTCCCGCAAAAGTCTTCCCCTCAGCCCACCACCACAGCGGCACAGGAGGGAATTATACATTTGACGTTTGGGTTGAAATCAGTTTTGTGATTGTTTTTCAATGTTCAGCTTTTTAACTGCGAGCCAGCGGGCACAGTCACAAAATGGCTGCTGCAGGAGGCGGAGCCAACCACAAAATGTCAGGGAGCGAGGTTATATATAACTCCAAGAGTACCTCCTCTCCAACATTTCAGGCAGAAGCTCTCTTTAACAGGATGCCTTTAAAATCTGTACAGCCAATCAGAAGCCCTGCTGGCCAAAAGTCCGTCTAGACCTGCCCACTTTTGTTGTATGCATATTTTATGAACCACTTTGTACTCTGCCACTGCCTAACAGGTTTAACTTAGTAGGGATACTTAGCACTTCCATAATACATATGATCCTGACATCATGAATGTATTCAGGTATTAACTTTGGTTCATTTGTGACTTTTGTTTGCATGCATGCTGGGAAGAAGGCTGAAATGCTGATACAACTCCACATGTTTCTGATGTCAGTTAGCCTAGCTAGAATAAAGAACAGTAAGCACTCTGTAACCATATCAGTTATATAGATACAACATTGCTGCTTCATAGCTTCCAAAAGAAAAGTGTATTGTTCTGTTAGGAAAAGAAGAACTCTGCCTGGGAACAACCACCCCCCAGGTCTTAACCCAATGGGAAATAGGTGATGAAATTTGACAATGTTTGATGGAACCAATAATTCTGTTTTATTTCTCTGATGTAATGTGAAGTATAAAATGCTATTTCACCCATTGTGACACTTGAAGAATCTGTTGGGTATTCAGGGTTCCAAAACCCTTGAATCTGTATTCTTCCTTATTAATTAATAAATTATTTTTTTGGTTTCCAACTCTCCAGGACTGCTTTTGTGTGTTTTCTCAAATTGGCCTGGGCAAACACAATCAGGGACAGGGGTTCTGTCTTACACTTTCTAGGGTTGCCAGGTCCCTCCTGGCAACTGGCAGGGGTTGAGGGGACTTACCAGTAGAAAGAAGTCGGCCTTGGCCACATCCCTGGTGTCGCATCAGAGTGACATCATCATGCCAGCGATTCCTGGGTGACGTTCTGGTATTTGGGCAAAAACTTTATGATAGGAGCCGGTTTTACCATA